CTCTTTAAAATCATCCTACTTTCATAAAAACATTTTATAATTTTATAAGTTCAGAATATTTTATATTAGAACACTTTATATTTATAAATATTATTAATATGGAATGCTTCAAAACTATTGTTGTGTAATAGATTATAACCCCACACTAGAATGTACCCCCAATAAAATAAATGTAATATTGGAAAAAAAAGTAATGTTATTCTTAAATTTTAAGCCTTTTATTGATTTTAGAATGACATTTTAAGCATCAAAGGATGTGGAAAAATTACATCTTATAAGCATATAAAGTACAAGGAGAGAAAGAGAGATAGGAATGATAGGAAGTATTACAGGCTCAGATTTATATTAAAGGACCCTTATAACCTCTGAGAAGACCCTAGTGGGCACACTATCAAGGTTTCCATATCGTTCTCTCTTTCTTTTACACTCTCACTCTCTCACCTTTCATTATATGAGAAAGAATATGAGTGTTCAGAAGATTGGAGTTGAAGCTCCGAAGATTGGAGGGCAGAAGGCAAAGGAAAAAAAGCTGTATAACCTCTGAGAAGACCCTAGTGGGCACACTATCAAGGTTTCCATATCGTTCTCTCTTTCTTTTACACTCTCACTCTCTCACCTTTCATTATATGAGAAAGAATATGAGTGTTCAGAAGATTGGAGTTGAAGCTCCGAAGATTGGAGGGCAGAAGGCAAAGGAAAAAAAAGCTGTAGAAAAAGAGAGGAACAGAATTTAACTTTTCTGACCCTCAGTCAACTCAAAGAGAAGAGATGAGGAAAGAAGAGCTTAACTGCAACCCTGATTTCACTTTAAATGAAATGTTTTTTTTTTTAAATAACTTGCATTGCTGTGTTTTATTTTTCAGAAGCATAAAATACTTAATGAACGAGACAGCCCAGAGCACACGGTGCATTTTTATATAAATTTATATTAGCGCTGTCAAACGATTAATCGCGATTAATCGCATAAAAAAAGTTTTTGTTTTCATAATATGTGTGTGTGCTGTGCATATTTAATATGTATCTATAAATACAAATACGTGCACGTATATATTTAAGAAAAATATGTTATGTTTATATATGAAATACTTCTGGCCAAAATACAAGTCCAAAATCCATAATAACTCTTCCTCCTTTTGTCCTCTCACATCAAAATCTACCAACATATCAGCCTATCTATTTTGGACTGTTTTCGCTTGTAAATGAGGCTTGATCTTTGCATATTTCTCTCCTGATTCAGACGAGATGACTTTTTCTCTGGAGAATGCAATATTATGGATAGAGTATGGAGTGTGAGTGTATTCACAATATAAGGAATACAATGCATTCTCTGTCCCATGTGATAAATAAACAAAAACCTGCGTATCACATAATATATTTAGTTGAATAGGTTCAAATGAGACCTCAGAGAACACCACAACATTTCCGAATCGAAGGAAAGTGTGATGTTTCAATATCTCCAATCAAATCTATATTTCTAACCTCCAATGATGCATTTATGGTTAAAGGAAATGTTCAGTAATTTAAAATTGTATTCTGCCGAATGCAAAATTTCCACGGCTGTAGGCCATATGCCAGTAAGGATAGATTAAATGACCTGTGACTCTGACAAGAAAAGACGAGAACAGTACAACAAAAGTTAGTTCATGCTCTCTGAGTGGAGCTGATGGTGCATGAGGCACCAACTGTTCTCTGCTCTCGTCTGATGCTGAGAGACAGTTGTGCAAATCTTGTGGATGCCGTGAGAAGGAGAGAAGTGGGAGAGGTCATATACCAGTGTCTGCCACCATTGGGGTTTTGGGGACTGTCAGATTCAATGTCTTGCTCTCTCATTCATAGTCCTGTGTGAGAATGAACGTCTGCTGAGGCACCAGTGTGTGATGAATCTGTTTGCAATTCATGCGGCTGCAAAGTGCAGCACACTGTAAAAGCATGTGCTCCAAGGGCCAATTCAATTTTGCCAGCCTGTAACATCAAGCAGTATAAGCAGTGCGTGAAATTGTTTTAAATGATAATCGTTTTATATGGGTAAAATTTTAATTTCTACACGTTCATCAAGGAAACAAAAGGTTTTGATTTGTGATAAATCTCTTTAAAATCATCCTACTTTCATAAAAACATTTCAGAATTTTATAAGTTCAGAATATTTTATATTAGAACACTTCATATTTATAAATGTTATTAGTATGGAATGCTTCAAAACTATTGTTGTGTAATAGATTATAACCCCACACTAGAATGTACCCCCAATAAAATAAATGTAATATTGCAAAAAAAGTTATATTATTCTTAAATTATAAGCCTTTTATTGATTTTAGAATGACATTTTAAGCATCAAAGGATATGGAAAAATTACATCTCATAAGCATATAAAGTACAAGGAGAGAAAGAGAGATAGGAATGATAGGAAGTATCACACACACACACACACACACACACACACACACACACAGTTGTGAGTGTGGGTCGGTGGCTTGTTGGGATGTTAGGAGGTTTCTAAATTAAGACTGTTTCAAGCACCAGTTCTGTCACACCACATAACATCTCCACTACTGAATTATACAGGAGGAGATGAAGTCAGACTACTCAAGAGCTGAGGTTGCCTGTTTTAAGTTAGTTTCAATTAAAAGGCAGGTCCGGTATGCATTTTGCATCCATTTTTGGCAGGTGAGGAACATGCATTCGATTGATACAGTATTGATAAATAAACATATTATAACATTTACAGCTCTGTGAGTTGCAAAAGCATGTGTTGGATCTCAAGAGAATGCACCTACAGCTCATGCTTTGAAAAGAACGGGATGGCACAACAGGGTGAAATTCAATCTACCGTTTACACACTATCGGTTGCTAAATCAGTGATTACAGAGCCCAGATGTGGCTTGAAAACATATCTGAGGAATTCACACACTCTGAAAATGGAAATACTTCACGCTCTGTGCTTCTCTGCGAGGCCAGACAATATCATTCCCAGGTGAGGTGCTTTGCGATTAAAGCCTGTCTGTCAAGAAGGCAAACTACACTGTCAACAACACCCTGCAGCTTCGCACATTTGAATAATATCTCTTTGATGTAATACAAAAGCAGCATTCAGGAATGTAGAAATGAAAGACATACTCATTCATGAATACAAAAGGCAACATGAAACGATATTCACTCATATTACTTCTGTAATCATATTCTGAAAACCAATAATAAAAGTCATTGGAGAGGAAGAACGTACACACTGATGAATCATGTACAATAAGATTTCATGTTGACTTTAATATGTGTCATCAGTATAACCAATAGAAAAAGAGAAATGCTTTAGAGAGGAACTAACATGATGTCTATACATTTTACTCTCGAACAACACTTTTCTTGCGAATGTAAAATGAACTGGCCTCTTTTTTTTAGTGAGATGAAAATAAATGGGGTAACAATTTTACAATGTCCTTGTCACACGTCACATGTACTTACTATAGTAATGATAGTAAATTGTGTATTATTACAAGCAATTAAACCTAAACCAAACCGTAACCCTATAGTAAGTACATGTCAATTACTTAGTATTTAATTGTGTAATTACACTGTAACAAGGACACCGTAAAATAAAGTGTAACCAAAAATACATAAGTACAGTGAATATTTACAGTACAGTAATATTGTCAAGCTATCAAAAGTGTCCATTTTACCTGAATTCCCTCTACTACTTTTGCATTATTAAACTGGTCTCCAAAGAAAAGGGCCAGGTTTGGGGTTCTCCCGAAAAATTTTTTTTAAGAGACTCAAATAACACTAATTCATTCAATGCTTCGCGTGCAAAATCCAAGGCTATTCTGAACCATAGAGAAATGTTTCTGATGTGACACAGCGGTGCAGAGTAAAAGACACTTGCCCAGATCACTGACAAGATTACTTACATGAAATCATGTGATTGATTTTGTACAATTAGGCATTCAAACAACAAAAAACTGATACAATGGCATCTCCATTTACTGACCAGTGTGAATGAACAGAAATAAAGAAGGGTGTCATAATAAAGTCCTTGCTAATGATGCCAAACACAAGCTGTGATCAAGTAATCTCTCCCACTGAATCAGCGACAGTATCTAAAAAGGATTTAGGGATAAGAATGTTTAACATGTGGTGTAGACGTCATCCTAAAAGTATAAGTAAGTAAGCACAAATGGGAGATATTGAGATTTTTAAAACCATATATGCATATGTGTAAATTTCTTTTTTTATAAATCCCAGATTGTGGAAGATTGTAAATACATATACATGCACTTTGTATTATGCATGGCCTCATCTGCATTACATTTACTTATGCATACTGTCATCCAAAGGCACGATACATGGTAATGCATTTAACAGTACTAAAAACTAAAAAAAACAGATGAAAGACTGTACAGTAAGCAACACCTGTCCCAATAAGAGAGATACTATTATAACTGCTCATAATTACTATTTAAAATCTTCTCCACATTATCATCATCCAGAATAATAATCTGGATAGTTAAAAAAATGTATTTACTGCAAACAGATTGGATTTTTAATCTGGTGAATAGGTTTGTTACCTAGAGAACAGAATCATAAAATCTCACTGTAAAATATTACTTAAATGAACAATGACACAATTTTTACCCATCCTAAATACATACATGAATGAATGAATGAATGAATGAATGAATGAATGAATGAACGAGACCAAGTGAAATGAGAAGCATAAAAGATGTGGTTACACCTTTTACATCACAGTAAAGTCAAATTATTGAAGATCTTTAAAACCATGATCCCCTCCGAGAGATTACACAGATCCAAACAACCCCAACTTTATAAGCTGCCTCTTAGTTATGTGTTAAATGGGCAGAAAATTCCTGAACTTCATTTCAGCTGAGTTTTGCTTTTTTCAGTCTAACTACTGAGCACAGCATCTAAGGAGGAGAGCTAGGAGCTGAATTTGAGGAGGATTACAGATGTGGCTAGGTCAGAAAAGGACTTTTAGAAGGATTATTGTAATGTTGTGGGAACTACATATATTTCAAAGGGGTCATAAGCATGTTGTTGAGGGTAAAGGAGATTTGGTAGGCTGGTTTTTTAAGATGTGCTGAGGTACATCTGCAGAGCTGGGGTGAAGATGAGGATGGTGCCAAGCACAGAAACTGTAAGAAAGACCCAGAGGAAGATCCGGTCCAATACCTGAGCCACAAACTTCCAGTCCTGCACAACCTGAGAGACAAACAGACACAAATACACTAAATATACAGCTTGAATCAAGCACACATTGTCCTTAAATTGCTTTTTCACCTTTCAATTGTCCCAGACAATTAGCATTAGGGGGCTTTCACAGGATGTATGTTTGCCTTAATTTGCACTACTTTTTTATTGCACAATTGCATCTTTGACCACTTTTCAATCTGAAAAAAAAAAATTATATTTAAAGCTGTTTAATTTAATCCACATTTGAAATTTTTCATGTAAAGCAATACTTTTCTAAAACATTATTAAATTCAAATTTTACATTGTATTTCATTTTGGATTTTCAAAAAAGAATTTCCACATTGGCTTTCTCTATCCTTGTGCCAAATGCTTTTCTTTATCTATTTGTCAATCAAGTTGAACCAATGCCATTAGACAGTTCACATGCATGTGGCATGACTTGCAGACACAGATGCATTTATGTAGTTACATTTAATATTATGTTGATAAAGTATGGCTTCAGGCTAATATCTCCAACAACTTTTGCTTTTGCAGGTGGCTATCGTGTCAAAACGGTGTGTCTTAGTGATGGGCGCTTTTGAAACACTGCTTCAGGACGCTTGGAAACCTTCATGAATCTTTTGTTTCGTACAAGTGGTTCGGTGCATGTATCAAACTCGCCAAGTCACGTGATTTAAGCAAATGAGTCTAGAAAGTTAATAATACACTACACTAATTTCATTTAAAACTTCAATTGATTGACTGGAGTCGTGGATTACTTGATGTCATGACTTGCGATTTGTGATGTTTTTATCAGCTGTTTGAACTCTCATTCTGATGGCACCCATTCACTGCAAGAGGATCTGTTGGTAAGCGAATGCTAAATTTGTGTTGTGATGAAGAAACAAATTCATTTACATCTTGGATGGCCTGAGGGTGAGTACATTTTCAGCAATTTGGGTGAACTGTTTCTTTAATAGATCACAGTTTGAAGAAAACGATTCGAAACAGTGAACCATTTACAAAGCAATTGGTTTAAATGACTCAGATTTGAAAGTTTGTGTCCTTAAATTACAACAAATAAAAACAATTTAGAATTGTTTTATTAATATTTTATTGTTACATTTAAAATTGTAAACATAAGCTGAAAATATAAATATTTTTACATTTTTCTGTTGTTTTGTCAATTTGATTTATTTTTATTTTTGAATTCATATTTTGATAACTGACTGCTTCATAGTATTTTTACTACTCTTAGTCCTGTATAAGTCCTGAATGAACAAATATTTACTCTGAAAGTTAATGTTGTGGGGGAAAAAGCCTAAACACCTCTCTGATGAAGTGTTCCTTCTTGATGTGTCTGGAAATGTAGTGCACTGAGTGAGTGGCTTTCTCCAACAGGGCAATCCAGGTCTGGTTCTCATCTTCCTTTAACCCCCCTCGTCCTCCTCCGGCACTCTTCTGTTGCCCTCTTTTCATCCCTCGTTTTAGCTCTGGGCTCCGCAACTCGATGTCTGGGTACTGATAGCGATCAGTATGTCCCCTCATGCAGAGCAGTCTGGGTAATCTCTGGAGGAAAAGACTCTTAACCCACGGTGCCATGGGATGGTACGTGGCAGAAGAACGATGATGGACGTTGATGACAAACACAGTCACGATGATCGCGAATGTAACGAAGATCATGATAAAAAGCAGATACTCTCCTATCAGAGGAATGACTTTAGAGGAAGATGGAATGATCTCTTCAATGACAAGAAGAAACACAGTGAGAGACACAAGGACAGAGGTGGAGAGCGAAAGCTTTTCTCCTTCATCCGAGGGGAGGTAGAAGACCAGAACTGTGAGAAACGACAGGCCGAGACATGGGATGATGAGAAAGAGTGTATAAAAGAGAGGAAGACGTTTCAGAATGAACGAATATGTGACGTAAGGATAGGAGTAAATGCCGTCACGCCGACTGCCCCTCTGGCCGGTGGCGTTGAGTATTTCCCATTCGCCATTGTCAAAGAAGTCTTTACGGTCTACATATGCGTCTAGCAGGGTCAGGTCCACCATAGTGCCATCGTACGTCCATGATCCAAACTTCATCGAGCAGTTCTGCCTGTCGAAGGGAAAAAAGGTGACATCCATGGTACAGGAGGATTTATAGCTGGCAGGAGGAGTCCACATGATGGTACCATTAAACCTTACAATGGCTTTGGTCATTAGAGAACCCTCGAATCGGCCATCAGCACTAGGAGAGATGGAGAGAGGGACACATGATATTAACAACTACATTTTTAATTTTTTTAATCAAATGGGAGTTGTGATTGCCCATGCTGGTGGAGACTGACTTTTCATATTCACCATACACGCTCAGATCTTTTGTCTCATAAAAACATGATTGGTAAGTTGAGAGACCACGTGTTAAATCAAAGGAAGTGAATATCAGCTGTTTTGTTGTTGTTGCTTACTTAAGGCAAGTCTAAATCTGTCTGAGTAGGCCTGTGCAGGGCACAATGATATGAATATTTGGGAGATTAAATACAAAGTGTGTTATCTCAAGTGCACAAAAAAGAAACCAAGATACATTCACTTTACACAATGTAACAAAAATCAATTTGACTTACAATTTTGATGGTTCTTCTGTAATTCTGTGGTGCTAATTATTATTGTATTATTATTGTGGTGCTAATTATTACTGTATATTGAATTATTATTTGCACGTAGCATCAATATTTTGGTAAATATTTAGGTCAGAACTTCTATCATTAATTATGAAACACTGGTTTAGTACAGATATATTTTGCTTTTGCAAGGATGGGAACATTCGAGAAGTTTCTGTAACATTCTGGAATTTTCTTATTCAAGTGCTTTCTGGAACATTCCAGAACATTGTTGGACAAAAATCATCCAGCGTACACTTCTGAAGTTTTGGGTGACTCAATTTTGCTAACTGTTTATGCTATACTGTTGCTGTTAGCTCAGTATTACGCATGTAGCATGTCATTTTTATGCATGTGTAATAACAGATTAGCTTATATAAATTGTCAACATATTTTTTTTTTAGCTTGCATGAGCACTGTTAATGATACACAAAAAAGTCATGTGATTTTCTTATATTCAGCATCTCAAACTTCATAAAGAAATTTCACAGTTTTATTTAATGCATGCCTGTCTGACATTAATGCAGAAAATGTATGAAATGAATACAAAGACTTACTTCTCATAAAGGACAATGTCTGGTAGCCAGATAGTTTCTGAGGGCACTCTGATGGATGTGATTCCACCATAATCTTCTGGATTCCACCGAAGCTTATAGTCTGTCCACTCCTACACGAAAGAGACCAATCAGGAAAATATTTTGGGACATTCTTAAAAATTAAAGCAAAAGATCTTTGAGTTACCTGCCACAACCAGACATTTGTGGTCATTAGTTGATTCTTTTCATCCTGAGAAAAAAAAAATTAAGAAAATGCACAAATGCTAAAATTATTTTACTACATTATTTTACAATATTTCTCTCAAAGCCTCTAAAAATCTCTCACTGTTGACCTACTTGTGCCATACAGATGATTAACTCAACTGTGCTATTTATATATGCAGCTCAGTAGTTAGTATTCTATGTCCTTTGTTTCATGAAATTGAAATTCAGACTCTGAATAGGAACCAATAGACTGAGACTTATCTGTTAAGGAATGGTGTGAAAATCAATTGTTCCCACAGAGTTCAGTGTTCCACCAGCCAGAAAATTCACACTGCCAAGTCATGACAACAAGGTGAGCACAATGTAGAGTTGATTACAGGATACGACCATTAGGTGGCTCTGCAGAATCCCAAAAAACTGACTTGCTGCCTGGTTGTCCAGACTAAACTGGCTTCAAACAGGATTCCAACAAAGCATCACACTAATTATTTTGGTTATGTCTGAAGTGAGCTTTGACATAATCAAGCAAATTTAATGACTTTTAAAAATGTATGTTTATAAAAAATGCAAAAGCCATGGAAGATGTCATTTTTTTAATCTTTCAACAAACCACCGAACAACTTGCATAGATAGAATTGTAGGACATCATAGGTAGCTGCCTTCAATAATCAACCAGATGAAGGCATCTTATCAGCCAGGATGTTATGTGGATGTTAAACACAGGATTTGGACTGCTTTTGATTTCTAAAACTGCTTGCAATGGCAAAATTATCAACATCAAGCACTTCTATTAGCCTATAGAAGAAGGAAAGGTTTAAAGGGATAGTTCACTCAAACATCTGTCAAATCTTTAGTGAATGATTACATTTACAAGTTGAGCACACATGAACGCCACCAAAAAGTTCAAGTGTAAAGGGAAATTCTGGATCTTCGTAAAGCCACGTCTTTCCGAGTTGTCAATTAAAGAATAATGACAGAAACTGGTTGGTATTGATCATAAAAGGTTTCAATGCTGATTGTAATATGGCAAGCCGTTTTGACTTTTATTCATTCTCAGGATATGAATTCTTGATATCAACAATAAAATTTTTACTAGTTAAAATGTTACTTCTTGATATCAGGAATAAGATTTCTACTAGTAACAATTGCTATTTTAGATATCAGCAATTACATTTCCACTAGTAACAATGTTAATTCTTGATATCAACAATTCAATTTTCACTAGTTAAAATGCTAATTCTTGATATTCATTTCTGATATCATGAATGTGATTGTTACTAGTAACAAAAGTCATTTTAGATATCTGAAATTACCCTCCCAATTGTTGATATCAGAAATACATTTTCAGATATCAGAAATGAACATCGCCACTAGTGACAATTAAATTGTTGATATAAAGAATTGATTTTAAATGGCAGCCTATGTTGACATTTAACTAGTGAAAATTGAATTGTTGATATCAAGAATTAACATTGTTACTAGTGGAAATGTAATTGCTGATATCAAAAATAGCAATTGTTAATAGTAGAAATCTAATTCCTGATATCAAGAATTAACATATTTACTAGTGAAAATTGAATTGTTGATATCAAGAATTAACATTTTAACTAGTAAAAATTTAATTGTTGATATCAAGAATTAATATCCTGAGAATGAATAAAAGTCAAAACGGCTTGCCATAGATGGTACAATTTAGTCCGTACATATTTTGTGTGCTTTTAATGCAGAATGGTGGTAATACTTCATGATAAAGCAATAAAGATAACATGACTTCATGCACGTCTTGTTGTAATTGGATTTTAAATTCCAAACTTATAATTAGAAACGGCCCGAGAGGACTTGAACGCAGCAATATTATGAGAAACATGTTCTTGTGAAATTAGAGAAATTAGAGGGAGTTCGTTATACTTTCATTATAACCACTGTACAAAGTTAATGTGAAAGCATTATGTAACTATCAGAACTTAAAACTCCCTCCCTAGTCCGAAAAGACCATCTAATTAAAATAAATGCCAAAAAGGCATGAAATCCAGTGCTTAAGCATTAACCGTATTTACACACCAGAGATGCCTATTCAGTGTCACTTGCTCTGCCTAGTCACGATATAGGAGGATAGTACAGACATAGTATATCATTTTTTTCTTAAGCAGCTTAGGTTCTTGATCATTTCAGCCCAAATATAACTGTTTGTGCAGCACATTTTAGCATGGATTGTTCTGTGAACATGTTACAGTGTAAAAGCAGGCATTGCTAAGAGGCTGTTATTGAAAGATGGGGCAGTTAAAAAAATAAAAAATAAAAAAGCTATTCTGGAGCTGACAAGCAACACATTTGTTTATTATTGTTTATTATTTTACTAATAAGTAATACATGTATTTATTTATATTTTATATTTACAAAATGTCAACAAAAAATAAAAATAAAAACTGAGCTCCAGGAACAGCGTTTGTCTTTCTGTGGTTCCTATAACGTATGTAAAGGAAATTGATAATTCATAGATCAAAGATCAAACATTTACACATCATGTAGAGCTGTTAACCTCCCACTATCAAATAGAGACAGTCTGACTGCAAAATCAGGGGGAAGTGTTACTCACACACTTCCTGTACAGTGCATTACTGCATGATTTATGGGCTGTTGCAGGTCTGACTCAGACTGTGATGTGATTTAACTTGAGCAACTGACAATAGCTTAAAGAGATCACACAGAAGTGAAAATGTGATTATTTTTGATTGTTGTTTTTTTAATCATTTAACATTTTTTATTATAGCTTTTATTCTTGCGATTATGTTTATAATGATTTGAATTCTCTTTTATGTAAAGCTTTTTGAATGACCATCGTGTATGAAATGTGCTATATAAATAAACTTGTTTTAAATAGTTTTTTTTAAATAAACCAAGATTTTTAAATAAACTTTGCTGGTCTAAACCTGTGCCGCATCCAAAGAAATATTTGAAGAATCCTTCCGCAGCTCTTCCCATACAGTGACCAAAGGGCTTAGTCGGTTTTCTACACTCTTTAAAATAAAGGTGCTTCACGATGCCATAGAAGAACCTTTTTGTCTAAATGGTTCCATAAAGAACCTTTAACATCTGAAGAACCTTTCTGTTTCACAAAAGCTTCTTTGTGGCGATAGAAGGTTCTTCAGATTATAAAAAGGTAAGAAAGAGATGGTTCTTTAAAGAACCTTTGACTGAATGGTTCTTTGTGGAACCAAAAATGGTTCTTCTATGGCATCGCTTAAAGAACCTTTTGAAGCACCTTTATTTTTAAGAGTGTATGGCTAATTAACATAATTATTTATGTAATAATTCTAAAATTATTTCTGACAAAATTATTTGCAGCCACCCATTTTACAGAAATAGGGTTTGAAGAATAACGTTTTATGGCTAAAATATCGGAAATTCTTAACTCACGCGCATAGCTTTCATTAGAAGACATCCAGTTGCATACGCTCTAGCTGCAAAAGTTCAAATATTTCAATGCACCCAAACCAGAAATTTGATCTGAAAATTCCACATAAGCATATGGCTGGAGTGCCACACATTTTACACAAGATTTAAAATGCAAACATATTCTGTATCAATCTTTCTGTAAAGTTATTATGCCTTTTTATGTAAGAGAAGTATACTTTGTTATAATCAATTCAATATCTTTCTAAACAAACTATATTAAATATGTTATATTTAATATATATATAACATTCAATCATCATTTACTCTCCCGCACTTCATTCCAAACCTTTTTTTATTCTTCCACAGAAGAAATAAAGTCATGCAGGTTTGGAACAATATTATGAAAAATCTTTTTTGTCCATACAGTGAATGTCAATGGTAACTAAACTCTTTTTGGGTGAACTCTCCCTTTAATACGATTCTATATTATATTATATGTCATGTTGATTTATGAATATAATACAGAGTAATACAAAAAAAACGAACGGAAGCCTTGAAGGGTAATGCCTCACAATGCCTACATGAGGACTACAGTACATCTCAACATGCACATGCTAGCTGCTAGGCCACGGCTCTAACAGTCAAAGTTATTTTTCATGAACTCAGTAATAGCTAATAAAGGAAAACGGTGGATGATGCCATACATATTTTAGGGTTGTCAGGTAAGCTTTGCAGTGCAGACATTGTTGGGACTTCAGATTAATTACTCGTTAATGTAATAGTTACATTATAGACTTTAATTACGTTTGACTATAGCCCAAACAATGTCTCCTGCTTTCCTTTTTAAAAATGGTTCTGCAGATCACAAATGATCATCTTCAAATTGGTGCATGACATGCATGACACGATAAAAGCGTGCCTAGTGCCTAATATCACACACACACACACACACACACACACACACAAATGCATTTTCAATCAGGTTCTTGAAAGCTCAGCATCAGCAGGATCAATACAGTGGGTCACAGGTAAAGAGGAGGACAGAGAAGGAGAGAATTAATTAGACAGAGAGACTATAGGAAAGACAAAGTAGGTTGTCATGATGATGTGTTTGGGTAAATATAGTCTATAAAATATGATCTGAGTTGCCATTCTCATATCCTTCCTAGACTAATCAGTTCTGTTAAGAGAAGAGAGAAAACATGCTTGCCCTTTAAAGTTGCGAACCTCTTCAGCATTGTGACATGTTTCTAAGTGAAACAGAGGAACACCATTCCAGAGGAAAATTACATTTTCAGATTTCGACTAAAGGTTGCAAAGACAAACTATTTTTTCTGTGGATTAACTCCCCACACGACTTGACAAGTCACCTTTATTTACATAGTGCGGTCACAGGTAAAGAGGAGGACAGAGAAGGAGAGAATTAATTAGACAGAGAGACTATAGGAAAGACAAAGTAGGTTGTCATGATGATGTGTTTGGGTAAATATAGTCTATAAAATATGATCTGAGTTGCCATTCTCATATCCTTCCTAGACTAATCAGTTCTGTTAAGAGAAGAGAGAAAACATGCTTGCCCTTTAAAGTTGCGAACCTCTTCAGCATTGTGACATGTTTCTAAGTGAAACAGAGGAACACCATTCCAGAGGAAAATTACATTTTCAGATTTCGACTAAAGGTTGCAAAGACAAACCATTTTTTCTGTGGATTAACTCCCCACACGACTTGACAAGTATATATAATATAATATATATTTATATAATACCGATGTTTTCAAAGCAGCTTCACGGTATTAGAGAAGGAAACCCAAATGCTGCTGTAAAGCAGCTCTAAAAAGTCAATAGTGTCATTATTAAGTTCCAATTCAGTTTAGTGTTGATTTCATTTAATTCAGTGATAAGCAGCTCAACTGACTAGTAATGTGCATTAAAAAATTACATAGGGTCAATTTTGATTTTATGTGGACTTTTGTGCAAGTGCATTTGTGTAATGGTGACTGTGCAACAAGAAGAGACAAAAAATTTGCACATAAAATATATAATCTGGAACATCAAGAACTTTAGACATGCAGAGTTTTTTCAACAGCAAAGCAGCTGACAGCTGTTTTTAAGTAGCTTCTGAAGAAGTCAGTAGCCTAGGGATTCACATACGTTTTTCTGCCCTGCCTCTTGCATGTTTGTTCCGTAAGGATGCATCATTGTTTGTGTGCTATTTGTTTAGGCATTTGGTGACTTTGTTGAAGATCAGATGTTGCAGTGCAAATGTGTGTGTGTCTCACCACATCCACCAGCTGCGAGATCTTCAGACCAAAGCGAACTGTAATCGTGTCGTTGGCGTGAAGGATAGGTCTCACCCACTTCTGATAGCCCCGAAAAAGATTCCTCAACAACGTGTCCTCCATCTCAGCCAGTGAGACAAACTCCTCAGGAGCTAGAGAGATTAAGGCTGAATTAATTTGAGAACGATTAAAAGGAACTAAAATGACATAAGAGCCTCAGGTGGCATGTGGTGATAAGGTAAAGCATAATCTAAAGCTACCATGCTGATTACCAGTATTGCATAGGCCTATACATACACATATCTGTCTGGTTATGTAGGAAGTATGTCTACATTTGATTAGCCATCTAGAGAAATCACACATTAATTTCAGAAACACTCTCCCACGAGTGTTAGATGAGCACGGAGTCCTGAAGTGACAGCTGGCCCAGGCTCCTCAGAGCTCCTTCTGCTGACGCAACCATTGCTTTGACATGATGACCTCAGACAAGCACACTACAGAGAGCATCAGGACAACAAGATGAGCCCACACACACATCCACACTCGCATTAATGATTACACACACACACACACACACACACACACACTGACTGAACAATGCATCATAGGAGTACCACAAAGAAAATGTATTAAAGAAATAGTATTTTTTTTTAATAAATAGATGCATTCAATATCTTAAAAAGTCTTGATTTAATTAATTTATTTAAATTAAATAGTGAATAATAAATTGCTAAATAATTTTAAATGCAACATTTAAATAGGTCACCTAAATTAAAAATTCTGTCATTATTTATTCATGCCATTCTAAAACCATCAGACAAAGGTTTGTTCTTGTGCATGTATAAATATGTGTGCATTTATAAATGTTTATATGTGAATTAAAACCTAAATTAAAATCTGTTCATCATTTAAAGTGATCATATCAACACACACACACACACACACACACACACACACTGACTGAACAATGCATCATAGGAGTACCACAAAGAAAATGTATTAAAGAAATAGTATTTTTTTTAATAAATAGATGCATTCAATATCTTAAAAAGTCTTGATTTAATTCATTTATTTAAATTAAATAGTGAATAATAAATTGCTAAATAATTTTAAATGCAACATTTAAATAGGTCACCTAAATTAAAAATTCTGTCATTATTTATTCATGCCATTCTAAAACCATCAGACAAAGGTTTGTTCTTGTGCATGTATAAATATGTGTGCATTTATAAATGTTTATATGTGAATTAAAACCTAAATTAAAATCTGTTCATCATTTAAAGTGATCATATCTCTTCAGATGACTTGAATTAAACTGCTCGTTTCATGTGGATTGCTTTTACAATGTCTTTATGTACTTTTGGAAGCCTAAAAATATTGATTATGTAGACTTTCAGTAGATATGTGAGAATTAAAAAAAAATTTTACATTTGTGTTTAAAAGATGACTGAAAGTTTAATTTATTTTGAAACAATGAGAGTAAATAACATAACAATAATTGTAATTTTATGGTGAACTATCCCTTTAAATTGCATTTTCAAATTTCACTGTTCTTTATCTGTCTGCCAAATGCTTTTCTTATCGTAAAAATTGTACATGCTACCAATTGACTTTCTATTTAATAGTAAATAAATATGTCTGCACTATTTCAGAAAAGGGCATGTGACAACAAATGAAAAATGGGCATTTACAAAAATAATCTGTTTTCTTAAAATATGTATTTCTGACTGGTTGAGATGCAGAATAATGCAAGTTGAAAATTTACACTGTATTTCTCAGGATGAATATTGTTACTCAGAGTACGTCCAGAACATTCATACATGCACTCACTGAGAGTTCATAATTTCATTATACAGTATAATTCATAATTCTATTTTAGGTGAACTGAATGCTAAATACACAATACAGCAACAAATATAATGTATATTTAATGTAACATTATATTTATAACTTTTATAAACATAATGTATATTTGCGCCAACAGTTATATAATCTATTGGAAGCGTAACACATAATATTTCACAGGCCTGTTCATGAACAAATACAAAATGTGACATTTAAAAAATAATAATAGGGTTCCATTAAATACAAATTTAGTGTGTGCATTTGGAGGTTGGGGTTGTTCATAAATGTCTTCTGTAAGGTACCCTCCACGATTAGTGGCATAGCAATCTGTGCTCCACCACATTAATGACATTTTTACAAGATGTTACGCCCATCGTTGTTGAATGACCAGCACTGCTTCCTTACTCAGCGCAGTCTGTCATGCCCTGGCAAAAGGTTTCTCGGCCTGGCTTTGGGAAGCTATTTTTCCTGCTCTGCACTGCAGGGCCGTGGGTTTTGCAACAGCAAGTATATGAAATGACATCATAAATAAAGACCGTGTGCAGGGCAGGCCATCTCTCCTGGGTTTACGATTCAACCAACCAGGGAGTGGGCAAAGACGTGTAAATCAAAAGACAATAAAGGGAAGGAGGGTGTATGAGAGAGTGTGAAAAACAGACGGAGTGTTTTTGTGCATTCTGAAGCATGTACAAATCTATTTCAAGGTAACAGCAGGAGTTAGGGCTAGGCGAGAGGTTGTTGCTTCTTCATTCATTGTGTTAATGAGTTCCTTTTCTCCTCAATAGAAGTGAGATTACTGTCAATTGCATCAGGATATTCAAAGCCACTTTAATGTACTCAAGCATGCTGCAATTCATAGGACATCTCTACACAAAGAGTAAAAAAACTCACTATGACTAATGCTCTCAGTCAAAGGACATCTGCATTCATCTGTTGCTACGGTGTATTATATCGACTCTAGGTAAAATAACGTTATTTCCCTCTTACAGTATCAAATTAAATATCATGAAAACCTTGGAGTTATTTCCATATAGGTGGACAAAGTTCACAGACATAACCTCATTAGTCACTAGTGACCTCTTTGTCCTCCCCGACAGCAAACCATCTGGTCCGGTCTTTTAAGGGTAAAAGGTCAATTTAGGGTAAATTCAAAAGCCAAGCATGCTCATGTCGTTACAGATTAACATAATAACCAGCCATATTGGAATTAAAAAGTTACTAGATATTAACTCCTTGTAGGAATTATTGTATATAATTAACATCACACTCAGTCAAGCTGTTGTACTGAATATCAGCATGAGAATATTATTCAGCACGCATGCCAAGATTGCAGCTGTACTTTCGCCTATATAGGCTTTGTGTTACAGATATAAAATGAAATATCAAATTTCCTTTACAACACAACTGCAATTCAGTAAATCTATGAATGCCAAGTTTGACAGCAATTTCCCCTTGATTAAATAACTTCTCTCACTTCAATGAGCAGAGAGCGAAAGAGAGATGCCAAGTATGTCAAGTAAGATAAATGAAAATCCAGTCCAGCGGCTCCATTTTCAGATTAAAGTTGCAGATGAAGGCTCACCACTGATAAGAACCCCCATATCTTCACTTTCACACTCTGCCAAACCCAAACAATACACATTTTCTTGCATTAATGCTTCAGTGTGACACTATTAACACATGCCATTCAATGTGCTGGTGCCTGTTAAAATCTTTTCGTAAGCTGGTCCAAAATAACCATGGTGGACTGGAAAGCCAGTAAAAGTGTATGGTTCGGTCACGATTTATGACTGTGAGCAGGTCGCACGCGACACTCAGAGAGCCAGTTGAGGGCGCTAGAAACCAAGCAATACGCATAAATTATACGAGGCAAATTTCTTTTGTATCGTTCATCTGTTGTAGGGTTGAACGCACAAGACAAAACGGCTTATAATGCTTGAATGCACTGGATTCATTCTGATCATTTACGATTTCGAATGTCTAAATAGGTCACATATAGGCTATTGGAGCCGAGAGCACCTGCAAAATCTCAATAACTAATAATAAAATAAGTAAATAAATATGCAACCGCACACGGAGAAATGCAGGAAAACTCTTAAAGATCATCAGTGTCCAGTGCAGTAGGTTACTCACCCTCTATCGTTGCATAGGCTGCTGCCGTTACGAGCAAAAGACAGGAGATTTGTAACTTCATGCTGTCTTTCCCGGCTCCAGTTCCTTCATGCAATGGAATTATTTCATGCTGTTTGAATAGTGAGTCCCTGTCATAAAAAATGGGGGGTATACTGTTTTTTTTATTCATATGGCCGGAAACCGGGCCGTTTTGAAAAACGATCAGATGTTCTGCAACCTGCTGTGTGGTAAAGCTATAAATTAATCATCATCGGAGTGGGGTTTTCAGCCAGCTCCGTCCGAGGCGAACACAAGGGGAAGATGCTTTCGCTCCCCCGTCTGCGTTTACGTTAAGATGCCATTCGTTCGCCGAGCAGCTGCAGCGGAGCAGGGCCAAACGAGCGCTAGAGAGCGTAAGGGGAGGGGATAAACATACCGACGTCTTCAAAACCAGAATTTACTTGATGTGAAGACTGTAAAGACTGTTTTGCTTCAGGACCTAGAGAGACTACATTACCTGTCTGAATACTCAATTCTGATTGGCTGGCAGGTATGCATTAAAACCGTTTAATGCACAGGTAGCTCCAAGTCAGTTTAATCACTGTTCTATATTAATGCGCTGCTTTCATTGACACACACAAACACACACACACACACATCACTCGCACACACAGAGAGAGAAAGAGAGCGAGGGAGAGAGAGAGAGAGAGGGGTCAAAGACCGTGCTGCGTACACACAAGCACTCAGGAGCACAGAAACACATACAACTGTCCTCTCTCTCTCCCTTTCTCTTTCTCGATCGGTTGATCGATAATTCATTAAAATAAATGTTATAATTCATTATTTCAAATAAATGTGATCTTATCGCTCTACTTCATCTCCATGTCTGATTTGAAGCGGGCAGAATGCTACAGCTAACAAGCCGTAACTGACGAAAATAACCATAATTTGTATCCTTCCGGTCAAATATTGCGCTGCAAACATCATAAACAGCTTTAACTTGTCAATGCTGGCAAATGACCATGGTATAAGCGGGATAATGATTTTAATGCATTATGCAGATGCAACCTTGACCTCCACGTCGTGCATTTAAATCATTTAATGCACAGCTAGCCCTGTATTATTCCTTAAGTATACCATTTAGCTCACAATGTTGTATTTAGTAAACTCAGTTCATTAAATTATTATTTAGTCAGTTTATGCAAGGAGTACATCTTATTAATAATACCTGACTAAAAATAGCTAAAGGAAATGACAAAAAATTACACTACTCATTTAAAAATAATTATTTATTTTATATTCTGCCATCAAGTTTACATCTACCCTCATAATGCGATTAAGGCAGTACTTGAAGCTAATGCAAACAGAATACTGTGATTATGTTAATGTGATCAAGCTCATAATTAGAAAAACCCTATCCATAATAAAATATGCAGAGTACTGACAAAGTGTGCTACTGCTGCAGATGGAAAACGAGTGCCGTTCATCCACAGCTTTGAAAATATGCTGGAATAGAAAAAGTCAGATATTATTTAAAACATTTTATAGCTCTCCTTTTGTTTACTGATACCTATGAGTGTTTACCACTCCTAACTTTAGAAACACGGCCCAGTCAGGATTTGTATTATCATTAATATGGGCTGCATGACATTAAATCTAATATCCATGTAATGAAATAAGAGATTAGCCTGCCAGCTGGTCAAAGATATAAAAACAAGCATGCTAACACTTGGCACTCTGACTACTTAGAACAATCAAGGTATAGAATGATTATGTTATAAATATAAAAATTACATTCAGTATACATGTGTACAAGAGAAAATAGTTTTTCCAAAATATGAAACAAGAACACAAAGGTAAAATAGGCAACTTGTACTTTAATACCATCACAATGCTATAATTCAGACATGAAGAAAGACAAACCATGGAAGCGCATTTTAGCCACAAAGTTAAAAAATAAACAAAAAAAGGTAATTACAACTTTTTATCTCACAATTCAGATTTTTTTCCTGCAACTCAGAATTGCAAGACATAAACTCTCAAAATGTAATTATGACATATAAACTCACCAGTTTACATCTCGAAATTCAGCGGTTATTTCTTGCAAATCTGAATTTTTTTCTCAGAATTCTGTTTACATCCTGCAATGCTATTTTTCTGCCACAGAATAAGAAATTAAAAAGGCAGTTGCGACTTTTTATCTCACAATTCTGACTTTTTTTTCTCTTGATTGCTTGTTTATGATTAAAAAATCTGACTTTTCTGAGAGAAAAAACTCAGAATTGTGAAAAAGTCTATTACTTTTTTTTTATACCATGGCAGAAATAACAAACATAGGGCAACATAGAGAAAAGAAAGTAAAGGAGAGTGAAACTGCGAGAAAAAAGAGAGGCCAACGTGACATGTGTTTAAGGGAGCATGCTGGGTAAATCTCCCGTAACTAATTAAGACTCTCTGCAGAACAGATCAACAGAGACCAGCAGGGGCCCTGGTACGCACTTACACCTTTATACAGCATGCATGCTTTTGTCTGAGCGTACAGTACATGTGTGAGAGTGAGCAGGTTTGCATGTGTTCGCCTGCTGGGCCGCGAGGGAGTCTCATACTGATGGGCAACGGCAAACCAAAACACGCGTTGGCATCAACCCACTAAGAAAAGGAGGTTCTGAATTTTGATGTGTGAAATGTGAGTCTAATTAAGCATGAAAAGCTCATCAAACAGCAAGAGAATCCAGCACCTGATCTCTCCAACACACTCTGCCAAGCTCATCTTCATGCTTGCAGACAAAGCATAAGTTCAGCTACTCCCATTCGTCTATAAATCTGTTATTTCTTTGTTTAACCAGAAGAGGTATCATTGGTCCTGTCAGAACACACTGAACTTAACTAAATGACAAGAGAGAGAGAGTGTGAGGGAGCTTTTTTTGTGCACAACTTCAGTCGGTTTAAAATATTTATGCAACACAATAGACTGTTGCTTTCACCAAGAAAGACTGAGAAATGCAGAGACAGCACTTTAACAGTTCATATCTTCCAGTCAACGCTGACACACAGCTGACGGAAATGCAGCATGCATGCATGCAGGTGAAGGATAAAGGGAAAATAAATGGAGATGTACAGAACACTAGCTACAAAGCTGTAATAGCAAGAGTATGTGAGTTATTTGTAGGATAATGACTGTTAATAAATAACAATTTGGTCCCTCTGTAAATTCTCTTTGCCACCGTGAAATCTTCTCAGTCTCCTAAAGTGTAAATACGGCCGGGAAGTAAGAAAACACACATTCAAATGTATTCTCAATACTTCAATTTATTCATAGAAATACAGATCTTATATAGGCATGTCGAGGGGAGTTTCACCCTCTTAACCAATGAGGATAGAATGACATACACATATAGGATGTTTGGCCAAGAACATGTGTTTTGTATAAAATGGCCACATATACAGAAAAACATGTACATATTAGGAATAGACTTCCTGGCGAAGAATCCTGAACCCTCCTCACAGTTCAGCACTCATCTCCTTATTTGGGCATTTGAACCAAGCAACTAATGTACTGTATGTAAGCATGCCTACCTCGAATAAGAGACATTAAAACACCATACAAGAGAGAGAGAACACAGATAGAGGAGGGAGAGGGAGAGGGAGAGGGAAAGAAAGGAGGGGGAATAAGAGAGAGGGGAAAAAAAGGAGGGGTGAGGCATATCATGGAACCTTAACAAGACAGAGAGTGTTTTATAACAATGACATTGTTTCTAAACAATGTAGGGATAAATCTTGTTTATCCAAAAATTAGAATTCTGTAATCATTTATGGATATCATACCAAACCCATTTCTTTCTTCTGTGGAACACAAAAGAAGAAACCTTGAAGAATGTACTGATGAATGACTTTCATTAATGGGGACTGGAAGATTAAAGCTTCAAAAATGATGCAAAAGCCGTATGACCTAATATGATTTGTTATGTGTGAAAATAGACTGACATTTAAGTCATTATTCACTCATAATGTTCACCTCTATATTCTAAGAAAATCCGTAAAATAGGGCACATTGTACTGTATTAATATGAAGGATTTTTCCATATTGATTTTTCACTGGTGCTTTACTCCTTTTTTTTAATTATACATTGCATTGTGTTGTACATTAGGGTTAAAGGAAGGACTTTCATTAATGGGGACTGGAAGATTAAAGCTTCAAAAATGATGCAAAAGCCGTATGACCTAATATGATGTGTTATGTGTGAAAATAGACTGACATTTAAGTCATTATTCACTCATAATGTTCACCTCTATATTCTAAGAAAATCCGTAAAATAGGGCACATTGTACTGTATTAATATGAAGGATTTTTCCATATTGATTTTTTCACTGGTGCTTTACTCCTTTTTTTTAATTATACATTGCATTGTGTTGTACATTAGGGTTAAAGGAAATGTTGGTAAACTTAATGGATAACGTCCTGGCAGAAAATGACCAGTATCTTTAAAATTTTTATACAGATTTTTTTTTTCAGTGTAGTATACTGTTAACTGGAGATTACTCAAAAGGGTCGATGAGACAAAAAATTTAGAAGGGTTTTGAGAATTGGATCAATCTTGAACAATACTGAAAATGTGAGAAGAATGATCTTCTTCGGGAAGGATATCAGAAGATTCTTTTGACATCTCAAAAGAATGATTCAGTCACAAATCTGACATCACTACTTTGCTCAAAAACTTTTAATAAATGTGCCACTGAGAGCTTGGGATGGTATTAAGATTTTTAGTAAATAGTAACTTAAATTAAAGTCTTTTTCCAATCTAAAGCTCTACCACACAAATTAAGAAGACTTCGAATGTAGCGCACAAGTTGTTTGCAACATTTTTATGATACTTTTTGAAGCTTGAAAGCTCAGTCCCTATTCATTAGAATTGATTCTTCAAAGAAGTTGAATGGAAGAAAGTCAAACACTTTTTAAATAACGATTAATAAATGATGAAAGAACATTCATTTTTGGGTGAATTATCACTTAAACTCTCTATTATTACATATGATGTTGTTCTAAGCCTAATGATGTTTCTAAAAAAAAAAAAAAAGAAGATAATTTTAGTTAACGCACAGCTCACCATATTCCCTCATTTTTGCACAGCTAATTAAACATATAATTATCAAGGCTGGAGTCGATTCTCATAAACCCGGCCTGCAGGGCAGCAAACAGTTGTCTTCACCACAGTCCATCCTCGCATGAGCTTATGCAGCAACATTAAATGAGAAAGAGAGAGACCAACAAAGCAAGAGCAGCAGGAAATACATACTGTACATGCACATCCACACATTTATTACACATTTATGAAACGTCTGTTTAAATTGTTTATAAGAACTC